ACCTTGATTTTAAGATATAAGTGGTAAGGCAGGAAATTCAAACAGCAGTGTAATAATGTGAATACTCAAGATTAATTTGAAAAAGGTTTGTTGGACAAATAGCTAAATCAGAAAAGGAAAACTTTCAAATATTTCAAAATGTAAAAGTGTACTGGTATAAATCATTGAATTAAATGAGAATTACTTCTAAAAAACACTTATAGGACTGCAATGATAAATAGCTTTATAGTAGTTTGGAGCAAAATGTATTTAATGTTTACTTTTATTGCAAATATTAAGATAAATGTTTCTGGGAAACACTGATAAAACTTTTTTACAACACAGCAAAAAAGAAAATATAGGCACACCACTATGAAACTTCAAAACACTGATGAAGTTAAATTGCTTTTTTCAATATTTTATGACATAATAATGCTAGCATTATAAAATACACATTAAAAAAACAAAAGCACACTGGAATTCATGATATAAGTGCATTTTGCAGTAGGACTGGTATTGCAAATGATGATGCATCTAAGTAGCAGGGTTGTTTTTTTTTTTAAATAAATAAGTCAAACTTTTTAACAATTCGAGCAAAAATTCAAAAGAACTACCAGAAGGAATCAATTGTCTAAGTTATATTTTAGTTCCTCCAAACAAAGGAAGCTAGAGAATACCATTAAAAAGAGATCAATAAATAAGTTCGAAACCTACCAATACTGGTAGCAGGTGTCATGCACAAAACTGACCCTGTGTGTCATGCAATGGTAGGTGAAAAAAGGTGAATAAAGGGAAGAAACAGGTTAGCTGTTTAGAGTTAACATTCGAAGATCCAAGCACCCCAAGGAAAAACCAAAGTGAGTTATATACAAATTCAAAAAGGCCATTCATAGCTTCTTTGCTATTTTAAAACATTTCCTTTCTATGTACAAATCTTTATAAATACAAATCAAATGAAATCTTTTATTACAGTCAATGATCAGATGTTATAAATACACAATATAGTATGCATTATACATCATAATCTATACAGCAAACATTTCATTTAATATTTTATTTTAGCAAAGGGACCTTCCCATTAAAAAGAATTCAGCTTGAATAGAATAGATAATAGCTGCTTTACTATGTGATCACTTTTAGGGATCAATTTTAAACAGTGTTGTACTAAGTTTGTGGATTAGCATGTCATGTGAGCACAACCAGTAAGTAAGTTTTGCAGAAGATTATGTTTTTTATTTCTAAGTAAACATTGGGCTGTGGTATAGACTACAACTTTGATCTGACAGTGATATTGGCATGCGGTTATTTTTCTTATGTGCTTCGGTAATTTGGAATTATTTCCTCTAACCTAAGAGCTTCCCTGAGTTCTGTAACTGGACAAAATAGAAAGAACAAAACTTTCTCATATGCATAAAATATTTTTGAAGGCAATTAAAAAAAATGAACAGTATTTGAAGAAAAATATTTCTACTGCTTCTGCATGAAATAATCAAGGCACTAAATGGGTATGCTAAATGAACCTTTAGAGGCTGGTTTGGTGTAGTGGCTAAGGCACCAGCTAGAAACTGGGAGACCATGAGTTCTAGTCCCACCTTAGGCACACAGCCATCTGGGTGACCTCAAATCAATCATTCTCTCTCAGCCCCTAGGAAGGAGACAATGCCAGATCACTTCTGAAAAACTTTGCCAAGAAAACTGCAGAGACTAGTCCAGGCAGTTTCCAGGAGTCAAAAACTGACTTGAAGGCACCACGAACCCCCCTGAACTTTAGACTTCATAGACTAAAGTTCAGGGTTTTTGTGCACACTAATTAAGACTACAGTTCACAACCCATTTACTTACTTTAATTATGGATCAAAAAGATGACTCTAGGGTCAGTGTACAATACACATGAGACAGAATGAAATATCAGGAGACAAAGAGGAAGAGCAAAGTATTCCATATTTTCTATATGGTCCAGTTGAACATTTATTTTTCAAAAAAGAAAGCATTTCAACATATTTTCATCAATGAAAACATTATAGGAATCATTCCCAATTTCAAGTAGGACCAATATAAAAATGTTAAATGATTGCAAGAATATCAAACTACTTTCAGTAGCAATTAAACGACAAGAAGGATGTATTTTCTTTTTCTTGGAACATATGATTCACTACTGTTTACTTAATGATGACAATGACTACCCAATATACTAGGGTACAGTACTTGTTCATATACATTCAGAGGTTGGCTGCTACTTCAAATTACTGTAAAAACATTTCTTTTCATACATAATATATAAATCCCACATTATTTTCTATACATGAGATGATTACCTATTCACTTTATAGGTTTTGTTAATACTTATTTATGTACTACTAGGGCTGTTCAAAGCATCCAAAAGAAGTGATTCACAGTGCACAAGACTCAAATCAAGGATATCTCCTTGAATTGGTAAAAGCCACATGTTTTGCAAGGCAACTGCATGTTTTGTAAATCTATTCTTGGACGTGTCCAGATAGGGACAGCCACTTGGTCTGCTTATTATTATGTGATTCTACTAGTTAGAAAATAAAACTTGATAAGCCCTGTTGTATCTAATTTTGGAGCTATTTTCAAAGCCATTAAAGATATGGGGCTACATTGTGCCTCATACAAGTATGAGCTGTAGAGACACGCACATTAAAACATCTCAGCAGACAAATTTGCTGTAAGTTCCTAGACATTTCACTGATGTCATTATGTTTTCCAGACCACCACTGGTTCTTAATGAAAAGTACAGAAAATAGATGCTTATGTAACTTATGTAACTACTGAATAAGATACTCCAGGATTTCAAACAATTGTCTTCCATCAGTACTTTACAAAAGAATGTAAAAAATTACTGTAAAATATGTTGTTATTCATGCAATCATATATCAAGAATAATGCCATCTGGTAAAATGAGGCTGCTGGAAACAACAGAAAACGACTCTTAAACTTTTTTCATGGACTTACACTTGTTCCTCACTGCCCACTAATGTAAAGCAACAAACACAGACATACAAAGTTTTTCCAATAAAAAAGGACAAGCATTCCTAGTGATGATTAATAAATGTATGATGGTTTGTAAAACTGGTATGTGAGAATAAATAAACCACAGAGTAAATGTGGGATCAGTAAGAGTCACTCATTGATATTAGAGGTGTCCCTGAGTGCTCACTAGGTCTAACCAGCCAACCAAACTCTCCTTCTCATTTTTTCAAAATGTTCAAAAATTAAAAAGATACTGCACCTTGAAAACCAGGGCAGCTTACAACAACCTAAACGATGACTTTGATAGGTTTTAACTGGGCCATTAGTTGAGATCCTATAGGCACAATTGTTGTCTCTGATTCATCATGGCGTAAAAAAAAGAATCATGACATAAAATACTGACAATTATATCCAACTATACCCTCCACAGCTATGTTGCAGTCAGAATTGTGGGTCTGATTTATTTGCGCTCAATTACAGACAACCTTGCAGCCTTTCCCTGCACTCTAATTTTCATCATAAGAGTGAAATGTGAATCTATTTGCTTGATTAGGGGAACCTTAAGCACCACTCAGTTTCACAGAACTCATATATATGAAACAACTGTGCACCAAAATGTATATGTATCTATTGTTAAAATATTATTTTGTTGAATATTCTATTTGTTATCACTGGTTCATTTGGGACATAATATCAAACTTTAGGTTACAGTTTAGTACTATGTATATAAGAAATAGTGAGTTTCATATTCACATGCTGTTTCCTTAATGGCATGATATGGTTTTCTTCACATGCTGTTTCCTTTTATGTTACAAACAAGATCAGATCAGGATGTGATGGATGGATACATGTAGGCTACTGCGATAAAGCAATCCCTATACATATTTATCAGTCTTGATGTGTGAAACAGGCACAAAATCTTGGGCAAACAGAGAAATGATTCTGCGTTTGTGATTTTTTAAAAAACTGATAGTTTTTTTAATGCCTCCATTGAGCAGAAGGGAAGGAAAAATGACAGACGTCTGCTAGGGAAGCAAATAATGGGGAGCCACTGTAGATGCTAAAGGATGTAAATCCTCTACTTTCCTCTCCCACAAGGTATAAGCAGTGGCGGCAGCTTAATATTATGCAAATAGGAGCAATTCTTTTTCCATTCTGCTTCCAAGCTCTGATTGATAAAAACTTTAAGATCCTTTCTGGCAAATATTAAAATGGCAGAGAGCAAGGAGGAAAAAGAATGAAGAAAGAGTAAGACATGTAACTTAATGTTACAACAATAGGAGATTCTTGTTATCATATTCTATGCTATTGCCAGATCCCACAGCCTTTGCGAAACTGCCTCATATAAGTTATGATGTAGTACATGGGGCCTCAAGTTAGCATCAAATGTGACAGTAGACGGACAATGTAACAGATATGAAGCAGAAACTTTACTCTGGAACAGAAAGGAAAGAGTAGCCGGCAGTATACATCAGAAACAGAGAAGGAGAGGGTAAACCCACCCCATGGGATTGTTGTTTAGGGGAAAATAGAATAGGAAGCAGAAGCATTATATACTCTGCCTCGGGTTGTACAAAATAAAGGCAGGATACCACACTCCCAGTAAATCTGAATATATTTGGTTTCTCCCTCTGGGTTCTTCTCAATCCTTAAAATATCTATATAGAAGGTATGTGAAAAAATGTTTTTGAAACATGCCAAAAAACTGAGCAAGAACATGCTCTTTTCCAAGAGAATGTTTAGACATATAAAAAAGACCAAGGTTAATCAAATTGTTCAGACTCAAAACTTTTTGGCACTACTTTAGCACTGGTAAAAATTCTGAAATTATAATATTCTGCAGAAATATTAAAAGTAAAAAAAACAACAACAACCATTGTCAATGTCCTCTAACCCTAACCCTAAAAGAGGTTAGAAAAGAACACAATTATTCAGATGAAAGCACAATGAATGGGATCGCATGGAAAGCTTTTTTGGCTAAAGACAAAGTGATCATACTTATTTCTTTAATTCTAAAAAGAACATACCTGTTGGAATAAATGCTGCATGTTGCTGCAACTGTGCACTAGCAAGAGCCTGTTGGTAGTGCAAGAAACTGGGATTAAAAACAGCACTGGCACCATTGCTTTTCTCAAGTGCTTGTCTCTTTGGTAAAGGATGAAGCACACCAGGTGGAAAGGCCTGTGAATTAAACACACACACACACACACACACACAAATACACACACACACACATATGTATATATATCTCCATATATATCTATATACATAGATCTATATTTTTAATGAGGATTGTATAATTATTATAGCTTTTTCAACAGTTGAAAATGCCTTGCCATGCTCCAGAGTCAGCAGCGTAAAATGAATTTTGTTGTTATTGATAATTAATGCATGGCACAATTAAACTAAAATTGTAGAATCATAGT